TTTATCCTATCCCAAAGTAATCAAGCGTTTTGCTGCCACTGCCAATCACAGCAGCCTGCTGCTGACAAGAGAAGCTTGCTGCTAGAGCTGGAGCACCACGGGATGCTCGAGGCAATGCCCCTGCTGGGATGCAGCAGAGCTCAGTCCAGACTGGAGCTGTTTCACGCTCCTGTCACTCAGTCCAGGGCTCCCACAGTTCACCAGGAGCTGGCTGACCTTGCCAGACCTGAACAGGGAAAAGGGATGCTCTCACCCATTGTCAGCCTTCCATCCAGGAGGGCTGTGCCCACTTCTTGCCTCTATTCCAGCAGCCACAGTAGCTGGATGTTCCCATCCTGGATCTGCCATCTGCACACATTGCTTTGGAGCAGGGGAAAAGGAGGGTTATCCACTCCCATCCAGGACACAGGCAAGTGTTCCAGTCACCCTCTGCCATCAGTTCCTTTAATGTGAGCGTGCCTGTCGTGGCAGGGATGGCCAGGACGTGGCCTCAGGGCTCCTTTCCTACCTGTGAGGTTGGGATCAGTCTGCAGACACAGTTAGAACCTGGGCAGGCAGCAACACAGGGCTCAGGCATGCAATGGATGCACTGTGATACACTGAATGAGTGCCTGGGAAACAGCAGGTGAGGGTTCTGAAAGGTGGTGGGGAAAGGGCACGGCGGGAGCACAATCTGCAATGCAGAAGAGAGCACTGCATCACCTCTCGTGTGAGGTGGCAGATTAATCAGGAGTCACAGAGTGCATTTGTAACCTGCCTGGCAACCCAGCAGCGCTTCTCAACCCTACCCAGCTCTTTCTCCACACCTGAAAAACCAGCAGAACTTTACATGTCACTCGTTAGAAACAGGTCCTGCTCTGGGAGGAGGAAATACTGGAGCAAGGACTTGGTGAGGGCCAGGCAGCAGAGCCCCTCTTGTGTGAGTCTGTAGGGAATGAGGACTGGCATCTGGAGAGGTCTCTGCTCCCGTACCTCTGCCTGCAATCAGGGGGATATTTCAGGGAAGGAGGTAAGTTTTCCTGTTTGCCTTGCTCGATTCCTTCATTTCTTCCTTTCCTCTACCATTGTTGACACAAAGTTTCCTCCCGAAGCCCAGATATCAGCAGGTGGACAGGCACCTCACTCCTGTCCTTTCAAGCTCTCTGAAAACTCCAACAGGTTTGCATCCAGACAGTTTTTTCTCCATTTTGCTTGAAAGAAACAGCAGGTGAGGGGGTTTCTTTTGGATCTACATAACCAGCTTAGATGGCAGAGAAGATAGAAAATGTAGAGACTGCCAGCTTCTCCCTCCAGATCCCTTTGAGAGGCTTTGGGAGGTGTCAGATGCACACAGCCTGGCTCACCTTCTCACTGGATTTCATGTTAGCAAAGCTGTGAGTGGAAAGAGCTGTGGAAAAACAGTACCTTCCCACATGTTGGGATGAGGCCTTTCTGTACTGCTTTGTCTCAGACTTACCCACAGATAACCCCTACAAGTGCTTTTCATCTCTTTTTACCTATTTTCTGGCCAAGCAGCACTTTCTAGAGATGCAAACAAAACATGTAATTCATTCTTCCCACTTCATCTCCACTGCAACTACTCCTGTTGCCCTGGATTTGTTTATTTGGGAAACGTTCCCCTTTCTTTCATGAAGCAAGCTTTTCATGCTGGATAATTTTGTGCTTGCCTTCAGCCTCTCAAGTCCTTAGAATAAGCCAAGCTGTCCATGAGATGGTGCCACACGCAGAGTTAAAACCCTACTTTGCTTACCAGAGACAGCAGATAGGGAACAATCTTCCTAGGCACTGATTTTAGTATGGCATATTTATTATGTCTATTATTATTATAATCTGGACTTCTTCAGCTTTGGGTACATGAATAATACAGCACAAAAAAAAAAAAAAGTTTTTAAAAAGGTGTTTTTATATATAGATAGATAAAGATAGCTCACTCTGATTCATCTGCTAAAAATTGCTGCTGCTCCTTGTTTGTTTGTTTTGTTCAAGCAGAAATCGCTGGGCAAGATGAATGCCAGGAATGGGGAATACAGGATAAGCCTAAATTTCACACCTTCTTGTCATGCTAGAAGGTTGCTGTCAAAACTTTGGTACAGGTCTGGAATTTGCTTAGAAATGAAGTCTCTGCTCCGGGGTGTGGTGCAGCAGCCCAGCAGAGCCAGGCAGGGAGGAGCATCTGGCCCATCCAGGGATGAATGAAGGTCAGCGCTCCTCGTCTGGGGGAGGGCTGCAGGGACTGGAACAGGAGCTGCACAGCCCCCAAGAGCCAGCATCTGGACAGGAATGCCACCCTGCAAAGCTAAAATCTGAGTGGTTTGAAGGACTCCTGTTCTACCTTGTGCTGTGTGAGGGTGTGAATCATTGTGCCTGCTCTCCTGACCAGGTGCAGTGGTTTCTCTGGTGGGGATAGGGGTTTTGGAGCCGGCAGCCAGCGCAGAAAAGAGACACAAAAAAACCCTTCAGGCTGTAAAAATGGCCCTTGGGCAGACAAATGTCTCACTCAAAAGTACAGATGGAAGTATTGCTGCTGGAGCTGCTGCTCCTGAATACATTTTCAGCCAACTTCTGCCTAGCTCTGAGCCAGGGAGAGACACAAAGCCTTCCCAAGCCGTGGCACAGCAATAAACTTCAGCTCTGCTCTCCACCCCTGGAGCTCTGTTTGCACCTGACAGGTGCTGCCACATCCACAGCCCGTGGCCTCCATGTCCCCCACATGTCACAATGCAGCCAGCACTGTGGAAGTGGGAGCAGCATCAGATCTCCAGGTACGGTGCAGAACCTGGGCTTCACCTTCTGTAGAGATCCTGGGATCTGGTCCCGGTCACAGACAGGAATCCAGACTGCTCTGGGCATTGCTAGTGATGTGTCAGAGTGGTTTTTCAGCTCTGCATGGACACAACCATTATCAAAGTTGTGTCCCAGTAGTCAGCTGGATCCTGCCTGGGTGGAAATAGAACACCAGTGCTTTGGCTGTAGCTTCACAGAGGGTAAGCCATCAAATAAAAACACTAAGAAAATAGTTGTAACAAACACTTGACATCCATCATGAGGGACAAGATCTGTCCTGACCCACTAAAACATTATTTGTTCTTTTTCCCAGGGGCCAAAACACCACTCTTCTGCGTGAGATATATGTGTCATTGGATATGTGTGTATACCTAAATTTAATTTGTCCAATTGCATTAGGACAAGCAGCTAATTCCAAAATTCATTTTGTTCCCATAATCAACCCCTCTGCCAAATGGCATTTGGGTGGAATTGTGGAGATTGTGATTTTTATTTAAAGTGATTTATTGAAATCATTAGCAATGTTCCCTAAGTGGAATCCATGGCAATCCTTTTAATCTTCCCCCCATCACAGTAAATGCAAACATATTTTTTAATAACAGAGAATTAAAATATAAGGTTATTAAAATCCACACTTGTGTTTTTCTCCATGCTCTCTCCCTCTGTAATGGGTTGGAGACCATGATTGTGGAAATAAAGCCTCCCTTTCAGACCGGAGATGCAGAGTGTATAATGAACAGTTAAGCATCTATTTAGTCACTTTGAATTGATAAGGGTGTTAATGAAAATGAAAGGAGCTGACTTTATTTCCGCTGCAGGGAAATACAAAAGGTGGGGGACTATTTTTTTGGTATTGTCCTAACCCTCTTTAATGGGGTGAGTGTCTTCAGCAGAACTCAGAGCTTCCCCAAGTGCTTTTCCAGCCTCTTCCCACAAGTACTCAGTGGAGATCTAGGAAGCTGAGGGGGTTTGCCCTGTGTCCCACTAGAGGTCTGGGCTGCTGTCACCAGCTGTCCCTAGGCACACAGAGAGCTGCCCCTGTTGCCCTCAGCTCTGATTAATCTCCCCAGGTACAGACCCCTTTGCAAATCCTTTGCCTCAAATCATTCAGCTCCATCCCCTCCTGGGAATGAAGGGGTAGGACAGGGTGGGAGCCTGCCTGGGACAGTCACAGCTGAAGCCAGGCACAGGGATGGGTCAGCCCTACACTAGACACTCTCCTGATCCCTCTGGCTGATGCACTGGTTCCATGGCAACTGCTAACACCAAACAACTGTGGTGAAAGTGCAGCTTCAGTCCCCAGTGACCAGTGGCCATGCCCTGGGGTTGCTCTTTCCTCCTAAGAACCCCAGGCAGAGGATGTGCCTTTGAGCAGAGCAAAGACAGGCTGCACTGTGCCACCCCTGCACAGAGCCCAAAACTCACTTCACACTGAAAAGGTCTCAAGAAAAATAATCTTGGCATATTTTCCATCTTGGAAGGATAAAATCTGGTGTGGGAGGACTGAGAATCTGGCAGAGGAGCCATCTGCCCTTAGCTCCTGACTCCGGCCCTGGCCCTCAAAGCATCTCTGCAGCTCCACGCTCTGGAGGCAGAGTAACAGCTCCAACTCTGGACATCAAGATGCTGGGGCAGGGGGAGATCAGGACTTATCCCATTGCAGGATATGTATCCATGCAACTGCCCAGATATCCTTCTGTCACAGCTCTGTCACTTGTGAGAAGAAATTTTAAGATGCTGTTCAATGATCCTGGGCACCAGAAGTGACTGTGGCATGGTCCATGCAGATTCCAGGGAGGGCAGAAAAGCTCTTTCCTCCACATTTTATTTGCTCCTGGGCTGCTACAATCTGCCCATCACCAACCCAAACCCTGGTGATATTATTGTACAGGAGATGTTGCCATTTTAATCTATACTTTTCCAACCCCCAGGCAGGGGGTTTGCTGGATTTGCAGGATTTCTGCTGGCCGGTAGCACGCACACAGACACACACACAAAGTTAATCTTTTGCTCTTATTTCTCAGAAGCTCCATTTGGCTGCTTTCAGGCCTAATGTGGTGATTTCCTTGCCCCCATGACAGCTGTTTCTTACATGCGGAAGCAGAAAAAAAATAATAGAAATAAATAAAATAAAATTTAAAAAAGTGAAAACTGGGGCTGTGATTTATTTTCACCTCCAAATATAGAAAGACAACTTCCCCCTCTCTAAGATTTCCTCTTCCTCCTCTTTAAATATGTCCCACTGCCTTCAAAGCAAGCCAGCAGCACGGTGATCCCAGAGATCCCACCACCAAGGCTGATGAGGAGATGTATTTGTAGGGAACACGAACCAGTTTAAGACCATTATCAAGGTGACCAAGGACAGGCTGGCTCTCACCAGTCGGCACAGACAGCTTAGCAGGGAAGGGAGACGGCGAGGGAGCTCAGCCTCAAACCCTCCGTGCTTTCTGCAAACCAGTCATCCCTCCAGTGCCAAAACTTTGCTGGGCGGAGGCTGCCGGGGAAGGAGCGGGGCTGTGGGGAGCATCACTCCTGCGGGATGCTGCGGGTGGGATGGATGATCCCGGCGCCATGTGATTCCTGCCTGCCGGCGGCTCCGCTCCCAGACAAAGGCTGAGCTCAGCGCCCGCGGGCGGCTGGACCCGGGCTACCCACGCTCCGGCTGCTCCCCACCTTCCTTCCCCTGCACCTCCCCGGGAGCATCCAGCAGCCGGATCAGAGCTCATCTCTTGCCATCGAAAGGATTAACTCCCCGGGGAGCAGCGGCGGAGGCTGAGCCTCCGCTCCCGCCACGCATCGCCTGCTTCCCGGCACGCTCAGGAGTTTCGGAGCCAAGCTCCCGGCAGCTAATCCCCCTCGCTGCCGGAGCCGGGGAGGCTGGGAAGAGCCGGCAGGTGAAGGGACAGGAGGGCAGAGAACGGGAGGAGTGTCCGCACACACACTCGGGCAGCAGCACCCCGCACACGGCGTCGGGCAGCGGCGAGCTCCGCAGGGAGCCCAGCCCTCAATAAAACCAGCTGGAGCGTCAGGAGAGAGGATCTGCCGGCTTGGAAAAGTCTTTAAGGTAAAACCCGAGACCGGCCGCTTCTGGGCTGGGCTGGGGGCCGGCTGCTGGGCTCTCTGCCGGCGCGCTCCTTCTCTCTGACTCGGTTCTGGTTTTAAAGGAACCCAGCGGGAGATGCCGGTAAAAGAAGTTGCTGAAAGCCAAGCTGGAATGGCCTGGAGCTGCCGCCGCCGGCCCCGTCACACACCGGGAGCAGCTGAACTTTGTGGGGTCTGAAGATTTTTCATCTCTGCGAACGCTCTGGGCAGCGCCACGGCACAGCCAGGACGGCACCGCACACCTTGTGCCTGCCCCAGCCCGGGACAGAGCCAGGAGGGGATCTCTGCCTCCCCAAGGACCATCGCCTCTGAAAAATAAAAGCTGGAGGAGGGTAATTTATCTTTCTTTTCCAGATGACTGAAAATACCTACAGGATCCTGTCTCTCCGGTTTTCATCAGTGAGTAGCATAAGGGAGAGGTGGCTGAGGAACAAAAATGATATCGGTCAAAATCATTCCAGAGCCTACTTTTTCCTAAGGAACTTCGTGCCCATAGGGTTTTTCTGCGGGCATTTCCAGGAGTGAGACCGAGGTACCACAGATGCATCCCTACAGGATCATGTAAGAATTTGCAAATGAGAAACGAACCCCATCCAGACCTTCTCTGCCCGCTTTGCAGTACATGGTTTGGTGTAAGCACAGCAATTCTCACCTCTTTCTCTCCCTTTTAAGTCTCTTGAGCTTGGAGACCTCTTTCCTCATTGCAATTATGATTATTTGCAACATCAGTGCCATCAAAGATTGGAGCACTTTCCTTTCCCAAATCCTCCCCAGCGTTAACAAGACTCTGAACTTGGTACAGCAAGTGGAAGCCACCACCAGCTCGGTGGTAAGTGTCCTCCAGGACCCCGAGCAGGACAGCTACCTGTCCAATAGCCAGTCCATGAACTCCAGCAACTTCACAGCTGGCCTGGACCACTTGTTCCAGTACTCATACTCGGACAATGATCAGCTCTACAAGGAGTACAAACCCCCTCCTCGAGATGCCATTCCTCTGCCCAAGGCTGTCCTCTACCTTCTCATGGCAGCCCTGGTGGTGGTGGCAGTGGCGTATGCCATCGTCGGCCATCTCATCAAGGACCTCATTTACGACTTTGTAGGTGAGTGTGGGCTTCACGTGCTGTGTGCTTGTGGCCAAAACCAGCCTGGTGCCAAGCCTGGACGTGCTGCCTTGCGTCTCTCCTTTGATTTGGGTGGGGTTTAGACCAAGCCTTGACCCTTTCACGTTTGCAAGAGCGTTAGTTTATTTAATGTGCTGGGTTCTCCGAGTTGAGTTCTGTGTTGACCATCTTCCCAGAGGAAATCCTTGGGTTTAGCCCCCTTCCTAAAGGAGCAGCCTGTGTGCCTGTGTATAAATGTGTGTGCGTGAGGCTGTGTTGCCAAATGGCTGTAAAATCCCTTGGCCAGTTTCAACTGAGCTTGGATTAGAGGTCTCCAATATGAAAAGTTTCATGGCAACAGACACCTGAGCTCAGGATAACAGCCCACTAGTGCATAGTGAGAGAAAATCTGCCATATGAGCTTAACCCCTTATTAGGCACCAGTGAGTCCACAAACTCCTAGGAAACACAGCTCAGCAGTCTGGTTCTCTTGTTACCTCAGAACAGCCATCACAGCCCCTGCAACAAATCCACGCAATGACAGCCCAAAGAGGGTGCATTGTTTTGAGATCTGGCTTCCTCCTCTTTGGTTTAATCCTGTTGCTGATGGACTCTGTCCCTCGCCATCAGAGCCACAAACACTGCTGGCTGCTGTGGTCAGGCAGAGTGCAGGCAGAGGTGCTTGGCTGCTTATAACAAACCCTCAGTGATACTCTTTCTTGCTCTTTGCCCTATCATTTGTAAGGCTGGTCGTGCTGGGGAGTGCAAATGTGCCCAATTCCCACCTGAACCTCTGATTCTTTTGGCCCCTACACCTTGGCAGCCATCATGTCCTTTTGGGGGTCAGGGTCTTGCTTCAGCATGCTGGCGACAGTTTTCCAGCTTGGATAGGGAGCCAGAAGGGATCCCCGGAGGGATTTAAGCTCCTGGCTCCTGCAGATGTGCACACCCCCCCAAAAGCTCTGGGAACAAAGCCCTACACAGGGAAGCGAGGCTGAAATCCCTCTGCACAGCCTTGCTCTGAGCCTGACCCTCAGTCAGGGTTGAAGCCCTGCAGGCTCCATCTCTGCAGGGGGAGGAAGGTCACACTCATCTGGAACAAAATCCACGTGTTCATTCATGATTCTGCTTTATATCCCTGCTCCTGGGACACAGGAGGCACACACCAGCCAAAACTCCAACCAGTGCTGAGGTGAGGGCAAGCCAAGTCCTTTGGGCAGAGGGTCATGACCGGGCAAGGGCCAGCAGATCCAGGACACAGGGATTTAGAGAGGAGCTATTTGGGACAAGAAAGGTCAAACCTCCTGGCAGGGAGCAGTACTTGGGGTCTCACATGAGGCTGAGCCTGGAAAACAGCAGGGAGCTGCTGCTGGGGAGTTTTTCTTTGCTCCAGATGGAAGGGAACGGATATATTGTCTTAAAGTGTTAAATTTAACACTTAATCAGCAGCTTGCTGGGGCTGTAACATCATCTGGCTCTGTCTGATTCAGTGCTGCCTTCCCCACAAAGGTAGGCAGTGGGGTCAGCACCTAAAAATATACCCACTTCTGTCCCAGGATGCTGAAAGGACCAGTTCAGGCCAGGTTAGAAAGTCCCCTGAGGCAGGGCCAGTCCACTCCCAGTGCCCGCAGAGCAGACACCCCTGCCGCCGTGGCTGAGGTCCCTGATGCAGGAGAGCACAGATGGGGGTGCTCAAAACCCCCCCTTGGGTGGGCACTGCAAAGCAGGGCAAAATCCACAGAAATGCCATGCCCCTCCAGGCACACAGGGGGACACAGCTGTGCTCAGGAGGCCCCAGATGTGCTGCTTCCAACTCGGCACCAACATTCCCTGGTGACCTTTAACTTCAGCCTCTGCGTGGGACGAGGTCAGCAGGGTGCCCCTTCTCTGGCAGAGCCCTTTGCAAAGGGACTCCACAGCCTTACACAGCACCGGGCCATGCCAGGGCTGGACAAGCACAGGGACAAAACTGGGGTCTGCCTGCTTCCTGGCACTTTGGAGCAAAGTGGCCACTATTGCCACTTTTCCCAGTTCAACACCCCTTGCTGATGGCAAAGCGTCCTCCCTGCCCTGGGTGGAGGCAATATCTCTCCAAGTTAGGGTCAGAAATCCAGATGTGAGCTTCCTCCCCCTCCAGGCACAGAGGAGAAGGCATTTCCCAAACTCCAGCAGCACCCCTGAGTGCCAAAGGCTGCCTCCAGCTCATCCTAGTTAGCACTCCAGGCCCATCTTCCCACAGTTTATACCCTCAAAATGAGCCAGTCCTCGGAAGAGAGCGGACGAGAGCGTGTTTGTTAACACTGCCAAGGAACAGCCTTTAAAGAGAAGGTTTCATTTGAATGAGTTTGCATAAAATTACTTCAGGGACAGGACAGAGAGACCAAGGGATAGTAAATAAGAAGCTGCTCTATTAGCTCCCTTAACACAATGCCTGGATTTATATACTCGGCAGCAGCTCCAGCCTCTGCTATCAGCGTTTCTGCACTAATCATGTTCAGAAATATAGAGGGAGAGATGGAAATAAGATGCCAAAGGGCTGGAGCCTGTTTCAGGGAGATTAAAGTGGGAATAGTTAATCGCTGCTTTAAACAGTCACTCGGAGGCATCAGGGATGATTATGACTCCTCAATAACAGCTTGTCGGACACAGACTGGGGAGTTGAAGCATCACCCAGCCCCCTGCACTCCCAGGAACAGTGAGAAGCAGGTGCTGGGCTCAGTTTCGGATGGTGAAGGGGTTCTCGGGATGCTGCCAAGGTTTTTTCCCTGCAAAATCGAAATGGGTATTTGAGACACCAACACTTCTCTTGCAGATGCTTCTTGAAAAATCAATTAGAGTTTGCCCAGGCATCCCCAGGGGCACATGAGCACTGTGGGCCAGGGAGGAGTGAGAATGGGAGGCTGCATTGGAGAAGGAGGAAAGATGCAATGTTGGAGAGTGGGAAGGCAGAGCACTTGGATATGGATAAGTGGGCTCTGAAAGAGCCCCTCTTCAGCTCTTCCTGGCCCAGGAGAGCCCCACCACCTTCATTTCTCTCCAGTCCCTCCTGCTTGCTCCGAGCTGACCAAGTCTCAATTTGGCTTGCCCAAAACTCATCAGATGTCCCTGCCTGGGGTTGGACTCAAGCCGAGGAGGGTGGGAGGGAGCCTCCTGCGTGAGCACAGCTCAAACCCCACCACCAGTTCAGGCAAATTGGGTCGAAGCATTTGGAAAGCTGCTTAACTCGGAAGCGCTGGAGAGCTGCCAGAGCCGGCGCTGCGGCGAAGAGCTGGCTTGGCAAATGACAAGCCTGTCACCAACGTACGAGGCTCCTAATTACTGCAATCCTTGGGAATCAGCCCGCCCTCCCTCCTCCGTCCCCAGCAGCTCGCTGAATATCGCTCCTATTTAAACATTAAAAAAAAAAAAAAAAATGAGGAAAAGGGGGAAAAAATAAAAAGTTTGACGGGAAACAAAGCTGTTGCCATGGAGACTGCACGCGTGTGGTCGCCGGGAAAGGGAGAGCATCTCACTCCTGCATGGGAACCACACGGGAAGGGTCTGATGGTTTACGTGGGAGCAATGCCTTGCAGGGAGACCTTGGCTGGTGTCACCTGGTTCAGCCAAGGTCTCCTCTGGGCTGCTGGTCTCCAGAGGAGACCTTGGAGGAAACTTTTCCCTTGGGAATGTGCCCAAGGCAGATGCTCAGCTGGGGCAAGGCAGGGCAGGTCACTGACACTGTGCTGGTCAATGGCTTTGGGACTGCCCAAAACCCTACACCATCCTTGGAGGAGGGTCTTTCTTTTCTTTGCCCTTTTGACCCACCAGCCATATTTTTATTTTTCAGCCTTATCTCCAACAGCCACATTTCAGGCTTCTTTAGGAAACGGTCTCCTTGAGCAAAGAAACTGTGCATAAATGTAGCATTGCTGAAAATAGCTGCTGGGTGATCCTGCAGGGACACGGGATCCACTTTTAATTGTTCCACACAGAACCACAGGGCTCTGAGGATAATTCAGCCCACGGCAGGGATTGCAGGCAGCGTCTTAGACCCATCAGAGAGAACTTACATATCTTCTTTTCAAAGTCTGTTTTGAGGATAGTTCCTTTTCCTCTTAAAGTTGTGGGAAGAAACCACATTAGGCTCCCTTCTGCTTTTCCATGGGTGCTAACCCACCTCTGACAGTGATCCCCTGCCTGTATCCCTTCTGGTGCTTGGGGGTGCATCAGGAGTTCCTTAGGCGTTGTTTAGGGAAGCAGTGGCTGCTGTAGGATAATTCACCACTCCCACTCGCAGGCTGGGGCTGTTGGCCGGACAATGAGCCTGGCCCTGCAAGAAGGGCCCGCTCCAGGACAGCTGCATTTGCAGCCAAACCTTTGGAGCTCAGAGCTGGAGGAGAGGGATGGCTCCCAGCACACATCAGGCATTGACCGAGGCCTCAGGGATGCGCCATCCCACAGCAGCCTTCCCATTCCTGCTACCTCCATCCAGGGATGGGCTGTGTCAGGTCCTTGGGATGAGGGCTGTGTTTGTCTACTGCCCTGCAAGCACTGGTCTGCCCTGAGCTGAGACCAAGCAGGGCTCCTCACTCTCTGGTCACCTTCACTCTGCCTCTGGAAGATATGGATAGCACATATCCACCCTCAGGAGCATCCCTGCCTCCCACCTGCCACACCTGAGTCACCACCTCTCAGACACCCATCCTCTGGAGCTGCAATGCTGCCTGATGGATAGGATCGAATGCAGGGTTGCTCTGGTGCAGAGAAGCTGTTTTTAAGAGAATATCGTAATTAATTGAATGTTTTTTCCATGTCACCCCTTTTCCCACCAGATGCTTCATGCTGGTGACAGCTCTGCAGAGGAACAGTGTCCTTACCTGTCCATCAGCAAAGCAGAGTGCTCATGCTGTTTGGGGTGCAGGACAATTCTGACTCAGCCAGAACATCAAAGCTGAGAAATTTCTGCAAAACAGGGAAGGAAGAACAAACCCCAGCATCAAATTCATCTAGAAAGAAGTGAATCTGAGGGGGAAGGGGGGTTTCTAACAAATTACTGTTGCCAGGGGCAGACATAGATTTTCCATCAGAACAAACCTGGGAGTTTTCTGCTGATTTTGCTAATGAATAAGTAGAGCCTGTCCTGCAAATGAGACAGATACAACGTCCAGCTGTGACTGCTGCATCATGTCAAAGACATGAGGGATACCCTTGAACTCATCCGTCGGGAATGCTCCGGCCAGAGCTGGCCCTGCCTTGCTGCAGAGCACAATGTGATTGCTGGGTCAGGACTTGTTTCAAAGAAAGAGGTGCTTCTGCTCCTGCTGATGGGAAAAAGAGCTTTTTTAGCAGCTGCTTTCACACCCAGCTCCATTTAAAGCAAAACTAGAGCACGAGTTTGATTGTTCATCGAACATGTTGCCCCTTCCCTTCCTGTTTCCATCTCTACAGGGACTGTGAATGTCTCACTCACCAGACTGCATTTAAATTTCAGCCCTTTCTCCCACCCCCTTCTGCTCTTCTTTGGGATGTCTCTTTATCAGCAGCTGAAGTGCCTCACAGACATCCCACCCTGCCACCAATGAATGGAGGGGACAGGGCCACCCTCCTGGGGTGACAGTGGGCACCGAGCAACCTTGTGCCCCTCTGCAGCCAGACAACAGGAGGCTGCTGCCTGCACTGTCAGGGGTTCCTGAGCAAGGACCAGCCCTCATGCTGCTGGTACGAGGAGGGCACACTGTGCCATCTGGGCAGCCACAGTGCTTTTCTGTCCCCAAAAATACAGTATATCCCAGGGGTCCTGCTTCCAGGGGTGCTGTCAAAGAGGTGGACAGAGCCAGGGAGATGTGGGCGCATTTTGTGCCACATCACACTGCTACTTGGGGATAATAATAATAATAATAACAACAACAACAACAACAACAGACTTGCTATTCCACGGCTCCTGATCTGCCCAGTCTGCTCTATCTCCTCTCTCCAGCTGCTTTGGATCAATGGCTCCGTATCGATCTCACCCCATTTCAGCACTTCCCACCTCTCCATTGGCCCTGCAGACCCCAGCAGGCACACTGAGCCTTGGCAGCACCTGATGAGCAGGAAGAGGTGTCTCTGGGCTAGATGCTGCTCCCCAGCCTGGCTGAGAAAGTCACTTTGTCCCTCTCTTTTATCCAAGACATTCACATACACACCGTGTGCATGCCCTGCATTTTGCAGCATGTGTTATGAGCTCCTTCCTGAGGCTGTGTAGGGGCAGAAAATGCTTTTCCTTATCTCCAAAGCGTGACTGTCCTGGGTGTGGACGTGCCACTAGCCCAGGAGCACACTGTGATCCTTGCTCACCTCAGGCCTGCCCTCACCTGTCCCAGGCCCATTAGATGTCATTATGGTCAGCCCAGCTTTGCTCACCTTCTGGCTGGAGATCGTTTGAACCCACATGTGGACTTAGATCCAAAAGAGGATTTTGTTTTCCTCGCAGTGTGTATTTTTTGTGGCTCATGCATTCCCTCTGCCAGCTGTAAGGGATGGAGAGAGAAGCACCTGACATGGTGCTGAGGCTGCAGCTCCCTTCAGCTGGTCAGCACCACTCCTTGGCTCCCAGCCCTCGGCCACCCCCCTTACCCGATTATGCCCCCCTGCAGGGTTCATTATCCAAGGTTTCCAGCCTGTGTTGGCGCATGACATGAGGTTGTGCCTCACATCCCCTGCAAAGTTCCTTCCGCATCAGCGCGAGGTTTAATCCCATTGGCGCCAAAGATGTGCAGGTCTCCTCTCTCTTCTCCTTCTCCCAGACATGCTGTGGGTGACCCTGGGAGACCTTGGCTTCTCACCCACAAACTGAGAAGAGCCAGTGGGAGAAACAGGGGAGGACTGAGCATGGCTGGGACGGAGCTGGTGCTGGCTGGCAGGGGACATGAGGGTGCTGACATTTTTATGGTTGTTTCTCCGGGGTCCTGCTGGCAGGAGATCCTCTGCCAGCTCCACGGGGCCGCACTCCCCTCTTCCACACATGGCAACACGCTGAAGTTACAGGCCATAAATGGCCACAAATAACATGTAATTGTGTAATTACTTCACTCCTTACTTACACAGTCAAATCATAAAGGCATCGAAGTAAATACCCTCTAATGACAGCCTAATTACATCTTCCTGCAGATTACTGGGTAATTAGATCCAGCAGGCTCCAGAAATAATTCCCAGGGAAGCAGTGGTTGGGATTAGCACGCACAATCCAGCCTGCTCTTACCCAGGAGTCAGACTACAGCAGCCTCACACGAGCCACCTTCCCCGGCCACCCCGGCCAGCCACATCCCCTTGGGTGACAATGCACTGTGACACTTTTCCCATACAAATGGCTTTTGCTGGTGCCCTTGGTGCTCTCCAAAACACCCATCCCCTGCACTTCAGCCTTTACCACAGTGCCTCATCCAGCTCTTGATTCTTTTTCTGCCCACAAATGTCACCAGGGGTCCATCATCTGGCCACCAAATGGCACTTACCCCATCACAGGCATGCAACCCTTTTTGCTTCCTGTTGCACGCAGCAATCCTTATTTATTCCCCTTCTTCCCTGCTGCTCCCACTGCAGTTTTACAGCTGACGTCAAGGAAAGCAAGCTGAGAACTTTAATAGTATTTGTAGGAAGCAATCTTGTTACTGCCTTCGGATTCTCCTCACAGCAAGCAGCTGTGTGGGGGCTGGAGGAGCCTGCAAGGTCTTGGGGGCAAGAGGCTCTGTCTGGGATGGACCAGACAGGGCCAGACCAGGAAGAAGGGAGTGTTTGGCCTTTAGTCTAAACCCAGTAAAGCCAAGCAAAATCAAAGCTATAAAGGAAAAAAGCCCTAAATGAGCCTTCTGGGCTTGGCTGATTTTCCTTGGGGAAGGGTTGGGATGGGGAGCCCAGTCTCTGGTGGGGGCTGTGGGTTGTGCAAGTGAAAGCTAAATGTCCTGGTTGGGACCCGGGGCAGATGCAGGGCTCCCCAAAAACCTTTGGACCAATTTTTGCTGAGTTTCCCAACCACTCTTGCCAACACTGCAGTGGCTGAGGGAAATGTGCTGGTTCTTCTCCTGCCTTGCCTGTTGGACAACCAGCAAACCCTGCTAGCACAGTGATGACAGTGAAGACAATTGGAAAACCAAGGAAAAAGAGTCACTCTCTGGGCATGCTGCCTGTGCCCAGTGTGGTGGGAGCTTTACCCTCTGTGGAGACAGCCCCCTCCTCCAGCCAGCCCCTGCTGGCAGTGGGGCACAACCACCTCCACTCCCTGTCTGGCAGGGTGGTCACCTACCCTGGCTCCAGAGCATGAGCATCATCCTGAAAGTCAGGTTCTGCTCTCTTGGGGATGGTGTGGCCACATGGCTTCAGGCTGGAGAAAAAAATTCAAATATTGCATTGCAAAAACTGTAAAACTTTTGGCTTTTCTTAAAAGTAAAAAAAAAAAAAAAAAATTAAAAAAAAGAGAGGAAAAAAAAAAAAAAAGGAGACGCTTTGGTGCTCTCAAAAAAGCCCCAGATTTGACCTGCAGTTTGCACACTGAGCACAGGGTGGCCCACAGGTCATTCGTGTCTCTGCTCACACCTGAAGAAATGTCTGGACACCACTGATGAGCCAAGAAATGAGATCTTCCATTCACTTCACACCTGTCATCCCACCCTGGCATTTGCCATCATTCAGTCCCAGTTTTACTGCAAAACTTTTCCACAGCCCATGAGAAAGACCTCATGGTCTTCATCACCTCACTGGGATGGCATTTCTGTGTCCCTGCTCCATCAGGAAGCCTGTGTCCTCTGCTGAAGAGTCATAACTGGAATGTCCTGTGGGGACAGAAAATACCCCACTCAGCAAAGGAGATAAATTGCATTTTGTGACATCCAGTGGCGAATAAGCAGAGTTCCTCAGGAACAACAAAACCAGGCTGGTCCGTTTTTCTGCCTCCTGACAGTAAAGCCACCTCTGCTTTGTTTTTGGTAGCAGAGCTAGGAAATACATTGCTAGAGACCCCAGGTGCACACTTCACTTTGGAGGCACCTCACTCTCATTTTGGGGATTAACAGCATGATTTGATCTGCCTAAACCAGGAGGGCTTCCAGAAACCAGCAGCCTGAAGACCAGCCCAGAGCTGGGCAGAGCAGAGACCCCAACACCAGGGGAGTGGAGGGAGCTAAAGGGGCAGGGGTGGGCAAGGGACACTCCTGGAGGGGTGAGCACCCAGAGCTAGAGGTAGGGTGCAGCGGGAGGCAACAATTTTTGAGCCACCTTGAACCCTTGGAACAGCCAGAGGTAACCAGGGCCTTGTTTTGTGCTTTTCCCTTCCCCAGACTGGATCTTTGGCCCCAGCCCGGATGACAACAGCAACAAGAGCGACATCAACTGCATCAGCAACAGCGTCAACGAGATGAGCGAGCTGCCCGAGGCTCCGCGGCACCGGGAGCGCCAGCCCCAGGACGTGGTCATTGCCATCAGCGAGACTTGCCACTTGCCACAGCAGACGTGACCGGCACCACGGCCGGGCCGGGCGGCACGGAGCAGCGGGATGGAGCAGCAGGATGGAGGGGAGGGATGGAGCAGAGGGATGGAGCCCAAGGATGGAGCAGTGAAACAGTGCAGCAGCCGCCTTGCAGGACCGGGCGGGGAGAGGAAGGGATGGGCAGAGCCGGCGCCGTGGAGCAAAGCCCTTCTCCCCCTGGTTTTACCAGCCTCTGTGGACCTTGCCGGGGTGGGTGCCATCACCCCTTCTCCCAGGCTTGTCAGCCCTGTCCTGACATCTGCCCTTGGGTTTGTGACCCCCTCTTTGTTCCCTGTGAATAGCAAAAAAGAAAAAGCAAATGCAAAATACACCCACCAAGCAAAGCTTGCAAGAGAAATGAGCTGGAGAGAGGCCGGGCGGTCCTTTGGCGTGGGAATGGAGTGGGGAAAAGGGCAAAGGAGACAAGGAGGCTGCAGAGAAATGCGGGTGTCTGCATTTCTGGGGACAGGCCCAGGACACAGCAGGGAGCTGGGAGCTGCAGAAAGGCACAGAAAGGTCAGCAGGGGCCAAATGCCCCGGTACGTTGGTGATCTGCCTGGGCCATCGCTCCTGCCTTCAGTTTCACAGCCCCAGCTCACAGCCCTTTTCAGCAGGTGTGTCCTGTGGCTCTGGGACAGCAGGGTGACAGCCCAGACTTCTCAGGGAGCCTTATTCCTCTATGCCTGTAGCCAAGCCAGGGCCATCACATTCCCTCTGCCACATCTCTGTTCGAGCTCAGCACCCCCTGACAGGGAGCAGCCCTGTTGGGACCGGGTACAACCCCTTTTTCTGAGGAATGTTGCTGGAGAGGAGGACAGGGACCCATATGCATGGAATCCAAACTCTTCATGGGGGAAAATAGCCCATATATGTCTGCATCCTTCAGACTCCTCCCAGCATGACCACCTCCCACATCACCCCCAAACCTCCTGCCACCCCAAGGGCTGCTGGCTCTGTACTGGGACAGCCCCACACGCGTTGATGGAGCAGGGAGAACTCCCTCTTCTCCCTGGACGCCTTCCTCTTCCCAGCCAGAGCACCACCAACCAAAGCTGCCCTTCTCTCTGCCCAAAGACATCCTTTCCCATTTGTAACTCCAGGCAGATCCCTGCTCCTCCCTGTTTAAGGGATCAGGGGAAACCAGCAAAATGTGAGGGGCAAGCTCCCAAACCGTGTGGGAAAAGGAGCATCCTGATGGTTTCATTGCTATTTTAAGGTCAGCTCTTACCCCACTAAGGGTTTTAAACCAGGATCCATGATTTCTCTATATAGCAGACTGGAGGCACTGGGACCAAGCTCATTCCTTGTGCCTCCCCCTTATGAAGATCCCTTTACTCTCCACATCTTCCCTGAACTTAAAAGAAAAGGTTATGCTGACGTGCCACAGAGAACAGGCCATGGTCCAGACTTCTGCCTCTTCATTCAGGGAGACAAGTCCTGCCTTTTCCCAGCCTGCAGTACCCAGCACACCACAAACAGCAGGGGCCAGAACAGCATTTTCCCCTTCTGAAAATGGTTAAGGAAAATGGATGTGGTTTCAAACTCCTGCTCCAATGGCTTTAATGAGAGCCATTACCAGCAGTCCCACGCTGGGGCTTTGTCGGCTTTTCAGCAAGCAAAGGCAGAGGACAGTACTCAGTTACCTCTCCCCATAATTAACCATTTCCAATCAGACAGTGCTCTGCCACCATCATTTTTCTGGTTTTTTTTTTGAATCTGAGGTTTGTAGCGTGGCTGCTCTGGCACCTGCCAGGCTTGCCCTGTGCTGCTGGGGCTGTGGAGGGGAGCTGGACAGTGATGTCCCGGCAGCACGGGGGGGATGCTGGGGCACAATCCCACCAGTGTCTGCCAACTCCTGGGAATAAGGTTGCAGCACCAGAGCTGGCTGTGGGCTGGAGAAACTGGGAAGGTCCAAATTCCTGGGGGACAGGAGGTTGTACAGGGAGGGGCTGGTTTGCTTGCTCCCCTGCTCTTTCAGCATCAGCAGGCCAGACACCAGGGGTCTCTGGCCACCGCTTGGGAGGGACAGTGGGACCCTGTGTCCCACACTGGCACTGCCCACAGACTGGTCCTTGCCCTGGGGACATGTCAATCACTGGTGGCACTCACAACTGGTGCCCCCCACAGCTGCAGCAACAGCCCAGTGACTTCTCTGCACTGCAGCCCCATCACCCATCAGCTGCGGGGAATAAGGTGGAGGCTTCCCTGAGCACAGAGGCAGCCACCTCCTCCTGCTCCCTTCCTGAGACACCTGGGGTACCACATGAGGTGGTTTGACCCCAGGAGATGCTCCTGCACCAAGCAGCAAGTCTCACCCAGGGCTGGCGTGGCTGTCACCCACCCGAGGCCACCATCCTGTGAGCAGGAGCAGAAGGAAGGAGCCCAGCTCCCTCCTGTGGCCACCTGCACTGGGGTCTGCCAGACTGCGCCATTCTGGGAAGGGGCTGGCGAGGAAGAGCCCTCAGCCCCCTCCCCTCAGCCTCTTTGAAGCCCCTCAATTTTAGGGCTGCCAAGAGGGATCCTGGTGTCCATCTCCAGGACTGACCAAGCGCTGGGTGATGTTACAGCAGTGTCTGTGGTGAGGGGAAACACCAACCACCTCCCTGAGCTGCGGGGTCACACCTGGTCAGCCCAGGAGCCAGGGCTGGCACCAGAGCTCTGCAGGACCCCGTGGCTGCTTCTGGAACTGACCCCACTGGACCCTGCCACCAACGGGGGAACACCACAGAGGACAGCTGTTTCCCACACCACCTTCCTTCATGTGCCCCATCCCTGCATCATTGCCATCATCTGGCACCTGCCTTCCCCTGCTTTGTCCCCAGACGTGTCACCAGACCCCACACCAGTGCTGAGCTCCGAGGCTGGCTGTGGGCCTGTCAGAGAGCCCCAAGACCACGGAGCCGTTTTGCATCCAGACACTGGAGGCAGAACATGGCTTTTAGCTGCAACAACCCCTGTCCCTCCAAGAATTCAGTGTTTTTCTGACTGCTGACTGCATTTTGGAGGACATCTCCAGTACCCTCAGAGGACTTTTGAAGCAGGGTGCCAGGACAGGACCAGGATGATGGGTGAGGCTGTGAGGATGGGGGAGTGCTGGACATTTTTTGTTTGAGGTGTGCAAACAGTACAGCATCCTCCTGTGCTCTTCTCACCCACCAAGAACCCCCCCTCCAAGGCTCAGCTGTCCCACTCAGCCCTCTTCTTGCCCCCCACAACCTCTGAGCAGGGGACAAGTTTCTGGTGATCCAACAGCAGGGATCCAGGAGGAGCATGGAGGGGCTTCTTTGCCCAGGGGAGGATTTTCGGGGATGCTGAGGAGGAAGGCACCTCACGAGTGTGCCAAGCTATTCTGACTGCTCCCATCCCTGCACCTCTTCAGTGCAGGAGGTTGCTCTTTAATTCCCTCCTTCCTCCCCTAAGCGCCTTAGGGAGCAGAGACGAGAGATGCTGGTGCTTTTTATAGCAGCCGTAATCCCTGCTGCCCCGAGACACAGGCTGAGCCTCCAAAATGGGGGCTGCTGCCCAAAAACTGCCTCAAAACCCTTTGGCTCCCAGCACTGCCTCTCTCCCAGTGCACAGACCCCAGCTGGGGGTGGTTCTGGACTCAAGACCCCTTTGCAGAAGGTGTGGGACAGCCACAGGTGCTGCACTCTGACAAGGAGGGACAGGCAGACAGACATACAGAGACACATGGATGAGCACCACAACAACTGCCTGGTCTTCCTGCTCTCCTCCAAGACTTGTGGAACAGGAACCAACCCCACAGTACTGCCACAAGAAAGTCCTCAGGCACAGGGGGAGACTTTTTCTTTCTTTTCTATCTCCCCCAACTTTACAAAAGGGAAGCTGAGGCAGGGAGGGAGCAGGGAAGAGGCTCCTGATCCTTCAGCCCAGGAGCAGAGTCCTACACAGGGCAGCTGATGAGCTTTAAAGGTAGATGAAGCCTTTCCTTGGATATAAGCCCCAGGACATGAGCTTCAGCATTTTGTCGGGATCATTTGGTGCTGGGGTGCCTGGTTTCCCTCACCCAGCCTGTGCCTGTGGAGCCACAGATGGCATTTGAGCCATCCTGGCTTCATCCCTGGGCATGGAGGGGACTGAGGAAAAGGGATGTGAAAGGGGCAGTGGAAGGTTTGGTGTGGGGCAGGAGCAGATTCTGTTTCCCCTCCTGTCCCTGTCCTGGTGGTCAGTGCTGTCCTTCCACCCAGCCCCAGTCCCTGTCACCAGCCCAGGACCACAGCCACCACGGGAGGGCACGAGCAGCTGCTTTGTTCCCATTGCCATTTCTCTCTCCAGCAGCTCTGACTTTACTTCTCTCCAGCCAGAAGTTTTCCCCCTGACTTTGCACCCTGCCAGGAGGAACCCAACACAGCTCTTGAACTTTTACTCTTTCTGTTTTACTGCCTGTGGTTGGGCAGATGAAGTTTTCTCTGCCCACCCACCCCAGATCAGAGGATCTCACAGGAGAGAGCAAATCCTGGCAAAATCCTGCCTAAAACCATTCCTGCCTGCCCACTTTGCCCTGCTGGAGCTCTGGCCCCTGTCTCCCACAGCTTCTTTGCAATACATTTGCTGTAATTTTCCCTTTAAACACCCCACGGGGGAGAAAATAAAACCGACCAGGGGTGGTGGAGGGGGGGGGTGGTGATGGTTCTTCTAGGTCAGGCTGGGCTGAGACAGGGAAAGAAGATTAATTTCTCAGAAGAGCGATTCAGATTTTTCTGTTGCTCCCCGCTGGGGATGGAGGCAGAGCTGGTGGCAGGAGCACACTCACCTCCTGGGCACACAGGGGTTTTGGTTGTCACCCCTGGGGTGGCACTGAGCAGGACATCCCCAGACCCAAGTCCTGCGTGGGAGGTGCAGGGGGATTCTTGCCCAGAGATGGATGATGGAAGTGGGAAGAAGGTGGCATATCAGGGATGCTGATGGGCTGGGGGGGTGCCCAGCACCCAGGAGGAGGAAGGGGAGAGATGTGCCACCACTTCCTCTCAGCCCCCTGGCTGGGCTGGAACAGGCAGGGAATGAAGCCCTGAGCCTGTCCTTGTCACCCACCCATGCCCACGCACCCACGAGGCCCTGGGCAGTCACACTTGTTTTTCACTCCCAAGGAGTGCTGGGAAGCTCTAAAGCCAGCGGATTATTCTCCAAAGCAAAGACCTGGCCTGCTGCCATCCCCTGGCAGGCAGCAAACAGCCTGGGGAGGCGTTTCCCAAAGGCTCAGCTCCTTCCTGGTTCATGCTCTGACTTTGTACCCCCATTCAGCAGCCTCACAGTCACCCAGCTGCAGACACCAGCAATCTCAGGAGGGGTTCCCAAAGGTGGAGAGGAAGCAGAAGGTTACCAGGAGACCCCACTTGGTGTCTGGCAGAGCATCCCCTGTCCTGTGTGGCTTCTCCAGAGTGTAATAGAGGTTCAGCAGAACGAGCAGGGGGATGTCTCTTGTTCTCCTCTTTGCACAAAACCTGTAGGAGGTTCTTTGGAAACCTGTGAGCCCGGGGCAGTGGGAAGGAAAAGCTGGAAGTTGTCTGGAAACTCAGGACACAGGAATCCTACACTGGGCTGATTTAACCCAGTACTGGGGGTTCCTGGGCACTGTGGGGAGCAGGCTGGGTGAGGGGTGCTGGCTGGAGGAGAGCTGGATGATGGGGCCAGCCTGGGTACCACGCCCCAAAGGAGTGGACTGAAGTCAATTGCCCTAAATTGGAGGCAGCTTTGGCATCAGGGAGCTCTTCCTGGGGATCTGGGGACCACCACTTTGCTGCAACCAGCACCATCACAATATCCCCCCCACTGCCAAAACAGGGCGGGCTGAGAGCAGGGGTTGGGGGCTACACTTGGCCTTTCCTGTGCCTTTTGTTGGCCTCTCCTGCCCCACACTGTCTGCAGTGGGTCAGGCAGCACAAAACCAGAGCTCTGCTCACAGCGCTGCTCCCCAGAAAGGGATAACCGGGAGCTGCACAGGGAACAGCACAAGGGGCAGCAGGGAGCATCGATCTCCAGATAAGAGGAGGGTGGGGGGTGCTGTGATCCAGCCCCACAGGCTGTGCTTGCACCCACACACCCCCTGCACCCACCCCCAGGGTTGCCCCACAGTGATGCTCCCCATACCAGCGAGCCCACAGGGGGGTGTGGGGCCACAGGGCCGCCAGACCAAAGGCCACGGAGTTTGGCCACCTCCCTTCTGACCATAGGGACCGTGCTCTTTTTCCCCTGAGAAAAGGATATTTTCACACTTCCTCCCCATAGGAACTAACAGAAATTGGTTAAATGGCTGCGTTGCTCTGGGGACAGGCCCTTTTGGAGCTGAGCTACATGCAGGGAAGGGAAAGCCCAGGGGACATTTTAATAAGAAGCAAGGAGAGCTATTGAAGTGTTTTACTGCCTCGTTAAGGCAGTCTAATCTCTGTGTATATCTGGAAAAAAAAAAATTGGCCTGCTGGTGTTTTTATTGTAGCAGAGGTGGGTGTTTTCTGGCACGGCTGGGATCCCGCCTGCTATATCTGCTTGTTTTCTTACCTGATACCAGTAGTGAACAGCCCAAGAGCAGCTCAAGGGCAGCAGCAGGAAGGGTGAGGGCCAGGCAGACCAGGAGGGAGGCTGTAGATCCGTGCTCTGGGGTTTTTCCCACCCACAGGTGCTCTGCACCCCATTGCTGCACCCACCTTTCAGCCAGACACGGGTCCCCAGGGTGTTTCCCCAGTGGAGATTTGGGACTTTGGCTGGGCAAAGCCCAAAGGTGGGTGATCCTTCATCCAGGCAGCCCAGAGTCACAGCAGGGAGACAACCACTGCATCCCATCCACCCCTCCAGCTCCAGGGGCTGGGATTTGGGGGGATACACAGATTTTGGGACTATGGGCACCTTGGGCTGATGTAAGCCAGGCTGAAAAGTCCATGCCCAGGGAACCCCCAGCAAAAATTCTTCTGCAGCAATACAGGGTTATCCAACTGCTGAGGTCTACATTTGTAAGAGGAATAGGCTGGGCATTTTATTTCTAAGGTTTTCTTCAGGAATTTTTTTACCTCAGCCCAGCAGAAACTGGGGAAATCCTGCTGAGTCCTGCTGGCTCCAGCATCCAATTCCCCATTTGCAAAAGCTCCCGGTGTCAAAGCCGTGAGCCGGAAGGGATGCTGAGCCTGGGATGGCAGGGCTGGATAAGCCGATTGCATTTGCTTTGGAAAAGCTGATGTTTGCATGAGCACTGGCTCTAGTGGTTTTAAAGGGATCCACCCAGGAGCAAATCCCAACAGCCTGATATCAGAGCTGTGCTGCTCCCACCCCAGCTGGGCTGGGGAAGTCTCTGCCCTACACCCAGATCCACGCTGCACCTCCTGGGTGGAGGAAGCCACAGGAGCCAAAGCTGCCACTGCAGAACACAGAAGCAAAGACTCCAGCACAGCTAACAGGGCTGGCAAACACCTAAAATGGAAATATGGGGCAGGAAGGCTGAAGGTGCTGTTTGACACATAGTCCAGCCGAGATCAGTAGAGTCACCCTTGCTCCAAGCAGATGTGCCGTGGTACCCAGCTGCTTCAGGAAAAGTGACTTTTATCACTGATGTGAAAGGGATAGGTGCCCAGACACCTGGACTGTGCCTGTTTCAGGGCTGGGCCTAAACCAGCCCTTCTGCAGGGCTGCCCAAGGCTCCAGGGCATTCCATCCCAGAGCCTCTCCCCTTTCCCTAGAAACACCGGTGAGCTCAGCAAAGCACCCACAGCGTGGCCTGGGAGAAACACAAACATTTATTAAACCAGCTATTTTTTTTTTTTTGTTGAGAATGACTTTAACAGTGCTGAAGGACTTACCCTGTCTCCCCCAGGGACCCTCAACTGATTCATTGCATGCAGGGTTAGCAGGAAAGCAGGGGACAGCAAGCCTTGGGGACATGGTGGCTCAGTGTCAGCAGCACAGCTACACAGGAAGCCACAAGCTACTCACAGGCAATGGCAAGCCAAGCACAGCTGCTGCAGGGCAGGCAGATGGATGCTTGTTGCATAGGGCAACCCACTCCCAGTTTGCTGGGATTCACCCAAGTCCTCAGCAGGTACCATCTCTGAGAATTTTGGGTATTGTCCTGCTCTCCACATCCATCCAGGGAAGTTCTGAGGATCTGCAGGGGAAGGGAGCATGCTCGGGGCTCTCAGAACAGAGGGTAATTTCCACTGAAGGTGCTGCTTCAGAGACACCAAACCAAACCTGTTGTGCACCAGATCACCTTCTTAACCACAGCCAGCTCACATCTCACATCTGAAAAGTCACAGCCAGTCACCTCCCCCTCTCTCAGCTTCCCACTGACATCACGAGACAATGTCCTCACTCCTACCATCCCAGCACAGACAGATCCAAGCTGTGACCCACGCAGCCAAGGGAACAGCACGATGGTGAGAGCAAAGCCGTCACAGCACTCAGCTGGGGACAGATGCACCCATGGGTTCTGAAGTCAGGACACTCCAGGCTTGTCCACAAATGTGGAAGAGCTTGGCTCCTTGAATCAGGATGCTCAGGTCCTTTCCTGCATCATCTGGTGAAGGCAGAGGGTCCTGCCCAAGCTCTCACACAGCTCCAGCTGCAAGCCATGCTCTACAAGCTGGTGAGGGGCGTGCTGGGAGGCGTGGTGGGGACAGCAAAAGGCACGGGCAGAAGCCAAGGTTAAAAAGACAGAGAAGTCTCCAGGGCAGAGTCACTGCAGATCCACCCTGACAGAGCAGCCTCATGTGTCTGGTTGCTGGTAGGAGGCAGAGACCTGGCACCATTCATCACACAGAGAAACCCAGCCTTCACCACCCTTACACCGTGTCAGGGGAGAGCAGGAGCCTCTCTGAGTCTGAGCCCTGCAGGCTCTGCCAGGCTGCCTGTGTGCTGCCACATCCCAGGAATTCTGCAGGACTGCTCCCAAGGTGGAGGACAGTCCAGGAACAAACGGGGAGAACTGGATTTCCATTTCCCACCCAGTGCTTCATCGTTCTCATGTTATTACATCGGGAAGCACCACCATCCTTCCTCTACAGGGCACGGACAGAGGCTCCCCAGCCCCACCTCAGATTGGCTTCACAGAGGCATCTAAACCAGGCAGGGCTTCACCCACAGGGAAAGGTTTTTTAGCATTCATCATGTGCTGGGGCCAAACCCTAGGTCTGCTCTGCCCTGGATGGACACTGGCCTTGAAGACAATGATGGAAATGAGCAGATCCAAGAGGGATGCCCTGCTGATGGTCCTGCCCCACACTGAGCATGCTGGTGCCACCAAGCTGTGGATGCATGGTAGTGCCTCCTTGCCCTCTCAGGGTAGTCATTTTGGGTGAAGGATCCCCAGTTTTTGCACACAGGAAGCTGAGGATTAGAGGGAGAGATCCCAGGAACACCACTGTCCCAGGTTTCCCTACCACCACCACCACCACCAAAGACAACAGAGGGGTGTCCAGCCACCTGCAAGCAACACCCTAGAGCAAAGGATTGAATCTACCAGGAATCACCTCATCCCTCCTCTCCCAGAAATGTGCTGCAGGGCAGGCACCCAGTCCCTTATGGCTGCGTCATCAAATGCTGTTAGGACCATCAGAGGAACAGTGCAACACCACCAAGCTAGCCTGGCCCCCCCTCTCCAGCCATCCCAACTCTCCCAGGCACAGACAAGTGAAGCAGAGTGGGCAGCTGGGAGAGCTGGACTGGGAAGGCAAAGCCACGGGCTATAAGAATGTCACATCATCCTGTGACTGGAGCCAGCGCCAGTGGGCATCGTACTCCAGGTGCAGTTTGCTGTTGAGTTTGCAGTTCTCAAGGTCAGCCTCAGCTTTCCAAGCCTTCCCATCTGGATTTCCCTTCCCCAGCCTCTCCCCGGTCCCTGGTGGTGATTTGGTGTCTCTATCTGGTTCCAGAGAGGGGGACTGCTGCCCCAAATACCCATTGGCCACCTGGGGCTCCTTATCAAACCGGTGATCCTGGGGCAGCCCAGGTGGGGAGAGGTCCACGTGGGGCCACTCATGCTCCTCTTTGTCCTTCTCTTGCTTTGCAAGACCCCTCTCGGGGTCGATCCTGACCCAATCCTGCTCTGCCCTGGGCAGGGCTCTGCCCGATGTGGACGCAGCGGCGGTTTCAGCAGCGTTGTGGGAGTACTCATCCATGTCATCAGCCAAGGTGTCCAGGTAGCTGCCAACGGAGATGCTGTCCAGCCTGTCGTTGGGGTCCTGCAGGCTGTCCCAGCTGCCCCGCCGTGAGGCCTCCTGGCTCTCCACCAGGCTGTACTGGCTGCTGGCCAGGCTGCTGCAGCGGCTGGTCAGGGTGCTCCGCTCCTCCAGCAGCCACTTCACTGCCTCGATGCCCTCGTTCACCACCACCAGCTGCTGCAGGATCTTCACGTCCACCGCTCGCAGGTAAGCCTGGAGGGGAGACAGAGAGCACAGGGGGGTTGAGGTGACCATGGGGCCCCATGTCTCAGCCCAGCCCAGCAGAGGTGTCACTGTGCTGGCCACAGGTCTCCTAAACTGTTTGATGAAGAGCCTGGTATGGAACAACACCCTGCAGGGAACTCGGCCCCAGGGCCCAGACCATGTCCAAGACGTGGGGACATGGCCATCAGCGACCAGCAACTTACGGTTCCACCAGCCACCAACCTCCTCAGGGAAATAAACCCAGGGCACTTGTGTTCCTATTTTCTATGGGAACAAGGAGGAAGCAAGGAACTGGAGGTACTGGATGCAGACCTGATCCCAGACCCAAGACCTGTGAGGTTGCTGGCAGTGCAAGAGGGTCAGGCATTGCTCAGTGCAAGTGTCTGGCTGGACCACCAGCACTTCCTCAGGCTGGTCCCTTCATGCCTTTACTTGTCACCTTCTAGGGTTTGAACCAAGCCTGGTGCCAATGTCACATGGCAGGATTTGGAGACGCAAATCACTCCCCAAAAGGGAGGACAAGGAAGACAGGCATTGCTGATCACACCACTCGCTTCATCGACTCCTGTCCCTCCGAGCCTGGGGAAGCTCTTCACAAACCTCAGTTGCTGCAGAAACATCTGTTTTCCTAATGGAAAGCCCCGTGTGCCAAGACATTCCTGTCTGTATGATACTGGCCGCCAAAAG